TCCCAGAAACACTTGCACTCACCCACCCACCCAGACGCACTCTCCAGGTCCCAGTGCCCCAGGTGCGAGCTTCGCAGCATTTCACACCAATTAAAATACACGGACAAACCCCCAGAATGTGCCACAAACAAAAGTATGGTATAAGAGAGAATTTCTATTATTAAAAACCTATTTTGAAACCAGATTCAGAGTGCTTTCCCCCCCCACACACACACTTTCTCCTTCAAGGCCAATTAAAGCACATTATGTGCCCAAATCAAAGAGCTAGCTCTGTATTGACATGAACTCTCCAGATTTAAATTTGCAGGACACATCCCTGCTGTTGAGAAAATGCAAGCGTCTTGGCAAACGAAACCACAGTTTCTGGTTTTACTCAGGCTTTTTTTTTTTTTTTTTTCCTTTTCCTGGTGATTTTAAATGTGAAAAGCAAGACTTATTTACTTGCTCAAGTGAAATCATACAAGGTTACATTACTGCGCTTATTCACAGCTGAGGAGGTTCATGTGGAGAGGTCACCAGAGCATAGGAAGTGATCGAGGCCAGATTCTGACTCAGTAAGACACATACACACAAAGGCAGAAATATATTATGCCTGTGCTCCAACTGACAATTTTCTCTGGGGGGAAATTAAAGAACTACAAGTGAGGTCCAAATCAGAGTGATTTTCAATACTACATCTTCCCTGAGACTCCATCTGTTTCTGTCTCAAGCTAGCGAGAGGGTAGTTACAGATCCAGTGCCCAAGTCTCTCTTCCACAGCAGATGTTGCAGAAAGTAGATGCTTTCAGAGGTTAGTCCTTAACAAGGAATTTAATCCAGACTGAAATATTTGTGAATTCACATCTCAAGGCATTTAATAAAAACCTCCTTTTTCAGTTTTCCATCCCACTCCATTACATTCTTTGACCCCGAAGTTCATGTATTGGTTTAAGCCTTGGTTTACTTGGAAGCAAATTCACGTGCTGTCACTAGAAGGGCATTTTGCACTCAACTGCAGACAGATGTTCCAGTCCCAGGAAAATACTATCCTGTACCTGAAAATGCCACATTAAATGAGCAATGTCTTATAAGCAACAGACTTAATAACAAAAAAAAGAACCAAAAGAAAATGCAATGTTTTATAAGCAACAGACCTAACAACAAAGAACCGAAAGGAAATGCCTTGAATGAAAAATAAAGGCATGGGACATGGCTTGAAAAACATTTAGAAATTTTGTATCTTCTTACAGTATCAGTGCTATGAAAATTTCCCCATAAACTTTAGTATTAGTGAACTAGACTGGATGGGTCATAACTGAATGCTGGAAACACCTAGGAAGAAAATGAACACCTAGTGGCCTTCATCACTAATTTAATAAAGAATTCTGACAAGGTATACCAACGACAGTAGTAGGAGCAGGCCTGAATACATGAAAAAGGGGATAAATATATATAAATATACGTTCTGTTGACACTGATGTCATTGACCAGTGATACATCTAAGCAGGAGCAGTCTCCTCAGCCTTGTTCTTGTCGCAGATTAGGTGGAAATTCAAAAGTTCAGCGGTCAAAATTATAATGGCACTTACTTAAAGTAACAAAGATCAAAACCTGGACAGCGGAAGGATTAGAGGAGAGTTGAATAAGATGTTCGTAATTCTGAGGGCAGAGCGAAAACTGACCAGAAGTACCTTTTTTTTTACCTCATTTACTAACAGAAGTGTATGACACTCAATTCAGTTACAATGCAGTAAAGCTAGAAGCAGTGCAGAGAGACACTTTATAGTGCAAACAGACAACTTGTGGATCCACGACTAGAACCCAAGCTGCTGGTTTTAAGAAAGCCTAGATGTTTTACATTCCCCATTCAAGCCTGTTATAATGCAAACTAAAATCATATTAAAGATTATAAATTTTCATGCTTCAGGCGATAAGGAGATCACCTTGGGGGAGGAGTCAGAAAAGATGAATATGTGTTTTGGGGAGGTTTCCACTTATAATAAAGTTTCAGGAACTGGCTCCTTTTGAAAAAAGGGTATCAGGGCAGAGAGATTTCAACCAGTTCAGCATTGTTTCCCTTTCATGTGACATTCTAATATTTTTAAAATAAGTTCATTTTTAAGAGATACCAACTGATATTCCTGAAGTGTTAAGAATGCTATGCTAGCATTCCGTAAGACTGGGGAGGTAATAACACATCTTAATTTCTGTCAGCTGAAACTACTGCAAACATCCTCCTTTCTCCCTTCCTCTTGCCACTCACTACTCACAGGACAGGCACAAGCAGAATCCGACCCGCTGCACCTGAACTAATGCCAGGTCAGAGGTGAGGCGTACAGCAGGGAGATAACCTCCTGCATCAAGCAGCTCTCCAGACCTCCCCGTCGTGGCTCAGATCTATACAGCTCAGAGCCGAGGCAAAGGGAGCTGAGATCTACTTGCACCTGCCATGTGGATGTCCCTGCGAATCTCCTATTTAAGGCTGGATAAATCTGTATTTATTAATATAATGATGACGTGTTCACATTGGGAAAGCAGTTCTTCAGGGACTTCACCGCTAATCAAGTTTTGTTTTTAAGCAGCACCGCTGCCAGTGCTAACACCTACCACGGCCATGCTGATCAGGAGGTTGCTCCTTCTCAACTGGAATAATCCAGACCAACCTGCAAGGCTCATCTTTATATCGATACTCTGAGGGATGAAAAGGAAGAAAAAGAGAAGACAATCGTTTAGGAAAGGAAAATTACGGAGACCAGCTTTCAGAACTGTTGGTTTATAAGCATGTTTTGGTTTGGGCTTTTTTGGCCGAGCGGCAGATCCACTGCTTACGGCAGAAATCCCCACCTTCCTTCCTTTTAATTCACATCATGAGACGGCTGAGAAAAAAAAAAAAAAAACAAAAAAAACCCCAACAAACCAGGGCTTGAGAAGTTTGATATTTACATTCTAAACTAATAACTATCTCTAGGGTATCCCATCCAGTCCAGAGCTTACTGATGTGAAGAGATCTTTCATTTAGAGATGAGATCATCTTCACATAAGCCATTGCATTTGTATGGGGCATGCAATGGCAGCACCTTTTAATTGACCATTAATCCGGGCTTCACTAGAACTACTGAAAAGCTTAATTTTCTCTTGTCAGCTTTCGGCATCACACAGTTACACAATAGTTTGACTCATCTGTTCACTAACAAGCACTGAAAAGCTAAGTCATAGAGACGAACTCCGAATGCATAAAAAAGAAAACATGAACCAAAAGGCTGTAACTGGCTGCCATCTATTACAAACACGAATTGCTTTTTTCACGTTTTTTCCTTTATTGTCATATTGTTTCTTTGCTGTTTTAAATGGAATTCCCTTGATAAAGTGTTCATATCACGAGACCTAAATTTGATTTATCATCGCTAAACCATTTATATTAATTGCAATTCATCCTTCACAGATCACACAGATTCACAGATCACTTCCATCTCGTTCGAAATCGGTGTGTTTGCAGGTTGCAATTAGCAGGGTGGTGTGGAAGCTCTGGACATTTTTATTATCTGAGAACAATTTCCACGGTGACTCTTGGCCGATGTTTTGCCTAGGTAGATAGTAAAGAAAGTAAGACAGGGTGGTAAACATTCCTTGCTTACATTTCCTTGAGAGACTCAAGGTTAACGGCCCAGAAAGCAAAAGGGAAAACTAGGTGTCATGTTAAAAATATTACTTCTAACCCCAGCAGGAGTGTCTCAGAACTATTACACACCGGTGTGAGCAGCTGCCCGTTTGTCAGCTTGCACCAAGTCCAACTATTTCAAAAGTATTTTCAGTTGCACTGGGGAAACTTCAGCATTTTGGACCATAGTTTATATATATATAATTTTTTTTAGAATCAGATTTAACACACAGGCATGAACTTGACGCCATTTTATTCACAGCGTTCACTCCCGACGAAAAGATTTCCAGAATTCCGTAATGATTTTTTAAAATTTGTTCGGATCGTTCCCAAGGGGATTCCTCCATTTTGTGACAGCTTCTGAGTCACATAACATGACTAATAAAATTTTTGCTGCTATATCTCACACGAAGTTTCAGACAGCGAAAGATTCTTTGGCTTGAAAATCAGTGGTTTCTTGTTGTGAAGTTTTACTGGCACTTTTTGTCTTGCTTTTATTTATTTTTTTTTTTACGACCTCAAATAAACCTCACCCTACTGTCTGCTTTCCTATGGCATTTCACTTGCTCGTATCTCCTCCTTGTCTCCCCTTTTGGGAATCGGATTTGCCAAACTCTGCTCTAATTCAGTGTCCCTACCCTTACTCCTAACTTTGCAGATGAAGAAGAGAGGCCGATTTCCCCGAGCCTTTGCCATCCTGCTCCGAAGTGCAAACCGAACAGCAGATAAACCCGATTTTAAAAGCCACGTTTCACCTAAAGAACCCGCATTTTGCTCCTAGATGCGGCGGATTCTGGTCAGCGGCCACGCGCCTTTCAGCGCCTGAAGGAAGAACTAAAGCGGACAACTGCCGCGGGGTCTCGGCACCGTGCGGGCTGTGATTCCTCCTGCGTTATTCTGGGATGGATTCGGGGCAGAAAGCCGTGTTTCTGACCACCTGTGGGAACACCTGTGTGAGCAGCGCGGGGAGGGGGGGGCCCTGCCCGGCGCGGCCGTATCAGCAGGGCGGAGGGGCAGGGGCAGCTCCTGCAGCCCAGCATAGAGCAGCCCCAGGTAGGAGGCCTGGTTAGGCCGGGCTCACCCCTCAGGACTAGGCCGGGCCTACTCGAGCCGCTCCCCGCTGCCGGAGCAGGTTTCCGGGGGCGACCGGGCAGCTCCGCCCCGGCGGCGGCGGCGCCTCCTTCCCGGCCGGGAACATCCCCCGCAGC